CTTTCTTCATGGTGATTTGGAGGAGGAATTATATATGCAGTTACCTCCGGTTTATTATTGTCCTATTCCAGGGAAAGTTTGTAGGTTGCGTAAGTCTCTATATGGTCTGAAACAGGCTCCTCGACAATGGTTTTCTAAATTGTCTAAAGCCTTGAAATCTTATGGTTTCAAGCAATCATATGTAGATTATTCTTTGTTCAGTTATATTCAGGGTACGGTCTCCCTTCATCTTCTTGTGATGTTGATGATCTTAATATTGCTAGCTGGTTCTTCTCATGATGCGATTATTCGTTTTAAAAAATAGTTGAGTACTTGCTTTCATATGAAAGTCCTTGGTGTGTTGAAGTATTTTTTGGGTATTGAAGTTGCTCGTGGTTCGGAAGGTATATTTTTGTCTCAGCGTAAATATGCTTTAGATGTGTTATCTGAGGCAAGAATGTTAGATTGTAAGCTTATTATTAATAATCCTTTGGAGCAGAACCATCGTCTTGCATATGCCGAGGGAGAGCCATTCTCTCAACCTGATCAGTATCGTGGCTTCATTGGGCGAATTGTTTATTTATCTGTAACTCATCCAAAGTTGAGTTACTCTGTTCATACTCTTGTACAGTTTTTGAGTAACCTGCAAGTGCAACATTGGGATGCGGCAATCAGGGTACTTCGCTATATCAAAGGTAGTCCTAGTTAGGGTATATTGTTACGTCCTATGAAGGATGTGTTTGACGGCTTTCTGTGATAGTGATTGGGCAGCGTGTCCTTTGACTAGTCTTTCTTAGTCTGGTTATATGGTTTTTCTTGGTCGTTCCCCTATCTCGTGGAAGACTAAGAAACAACCGATAATATCTCGTTCTTTTGCTGAAGCTGAGTATCGTGCTATGGCAGTTATAACTTGTGAATTAAAGTGGTTGAAATTTTTGTTTTCCTCTCTTGGTATTTTTCATCCTAAGCCTATGAAGTTGTATTGTGACAGTCAATCTGCTCTCCATATTGCTAAAAATCCTGTTTTTCATGATCGTACTAAGCATATAGAGGCAGGTTGTCACTTTGTTCATGATGAGTTGGTGAATGGTAATCTAGCTACTGCGTATGTTCCTACAGGTCATCAGTTAGCAGATATTTTGACGAAGGCACTTGGGAAACGACAGTTTGATTTTCTTCTTAACAATTGGGCATTCGTGATTTACATGTTCCAACTTGAGGAGGAGTGTTAGGACATAATTATGTTGTGAGATATATTTTGTGAATATATTTGATATATCTTGTTAGGAGTTTTTGGCATGTTAGGTTAATGTTGTAAGCCTATATATATGTGTTTAATGGTAAAGGCTCATTAAGCCGTTTTCTCCTAAATTTCTTGTGAGTTTAACAAAAATTGTCATTATGTTGGGAATAATTTGGATTTGTTTGGTTTGGATGATTTGGTAAGTAAGGATAATAAGGAGGCAATTACATTTGGAAATTAGGATTGGAAATATAATTTAGGTTTGGTTGGGAATTATTGGGAAACATTGAGTTTTGATAATGAGGATAATTAGGATTGGGATTGGGATGATTTTCAGTATTCTGCAAATACATTAGAAAATTAGGTTGGGGATTAAAATTTGGGTTAGGTTGGGAATTGTTTGATGTTCTTTGAGGATTTGGTGTGTTTCGAGGATTCGGATTGTTTGTATTCATGTTTAGGGGTTGAAGAATGAAGAGTAAGCTGAAATGAGGAAAATATTTGGAGTGAGCTTGTGAGAATGCGGCAGAATCCAGGGAGTAGAATATCTGATTTAAATAAAAAAGGAAGGTGGATTTTCTTAAAAAGTTATTGAGAATGAGAAAATGTAGCCGTTGTTAAATATGGAAGAGAAATAAAGAGAAATAGGCGAGAAATTGGGGAGACAATAAATCGAGACATAGACTTTTCAAGAGTTTGATAATAATTGCAATATTCAAGATATAAAATTGGAAGGGCTGTAAATACGTTGCATATAAGTTCTTCGAGAACTTTTCTTACATGATTCATAAATAATATTAGATCAATGTCATATATAATTTCATCATAATTATAAACCCGTTGGAATATAAATATGTCTTTCTAATTTTCCATCAAAGTTGTAAATATGCCTTACTATACTTTGAATGAACATTCACATACACCACAATTATTGTATAGAAACCAATGCATGCAATATGAGATATATAAAACATGATAACATATTAAACAAAATATACAATAAGTACTACATCTAACAATTACTGACTTATGCAATGAACAATCCGTTAACCTATGACTCATACATGCATATAAACATACATAGGACTCAAAATAATGCAAGACACTGTACAGTGTGGATTTAAAAATCCATATATCATTGGACTTATGGTCTATGATATACTTATGATTATTATCGTTATGTTGACATCAAAATGAACATATATTTCAGATCCTTTATTCACTAGTCCACTCTATTATGCATATGCATATTATTCATCGGTTCCCTTGTGTATCGGTATCATAATATTCCTTTAACGTACATTTCGCATGCTATTTTACTATGATATCTTGATACATTTCTTATCGGTACCATCACAACTTCCTTACATCATAGGTCATCTATTGTAATAATTTAGATATCTATACCACTTTTAGGGTATTTCATACACTATGGTATTTATATACTATTACGCTATTAGTGTTAACTGCACTATCTTGCCATATATCATATCAATAGAGATATCTTTATTTTGGAAGCGATCATACAACCTACACTTCAGGTGTAGTGATTCAAGTATAATTGGCAAGATTATATCTCAATGTATACACATAATATGACCAAAAAGTATCTTCAACGCTATGCAACATGAGTCATAACTAATTACAAATCAAATCATAAATGTGCAACATATCTTGATAATATATAGGCAAAAGTTGGCATATAACTTTTCAAACTACCTTTATAGGGATCATCAATTATATTTTCCGATTTTTTTCCAACTTTTGCTAATTCTTCTCCCCCTAAGTTGGTAAAATATCTCATTTATAGAGGCGTCTAATTCTATACCAACTTAGTATACAAATTTGCATTAAAATTCTTTTCATCTGGAGGATCACAATCAAAATAATCATCTCAGAAGATTTGCATTAAACAAGTTTTATCTCTTCTAGAAAACAATTTCAATGAAGAATCATTTCTTTAACTTTACATTGCATGGTGTATTTATTGTTACACTTTCCATAATATGTTCTCTTCTGGAAATCAATGTCAATGGGGAGACATGTGTTGTGCAGCTGTACGTTTTTCTTTCTTTTCCAATTTCTTATGTGCTGATATATAATAGCCCCAATTAAAAGAATTATTACACAAGCATAAATCACTTGCTTGGAATTCTACTAGGTAGTGATCTTTGAGATCTTTAGAGATTTAAATAGTGTATTTGGTGAGATTTTGGTCACCTAATAGTTGACAATAACATATTTGTTAATCTGGTGAACTTCTGGTCACCCATTATTCTTTCGTGAAAATAAATCAAAACCTATTAACTCTTGACATTTTCATCAATACAAATTATTATAAATCACTATTCAATAATAGCTCAATCTTAATGTTATGTCTTTCCATTTAATTCATTTCATATATGCAACATTGAGAGAGCGTCATCACATTATCAAATGAAACTTCAAGTTTCCATAACGGGTAATTATTAAACCCGGATGACCTAATTTAATTATCACATCCAGTCAATTCTCTAAATTTGAACTCTGGTCAGTATTCCAACCCTAGTGATCACTTTATTAAAATTACTTTATGCATGACCATGAATATGATGTGATATTAGAACACCAACATGTGTTTCTTTATATAATTGGCAAGACAATCAACTAATACTTGATCCAAAATTTTATACTCTGCTGGAGCTTTGACTATAATCTTGATACATGCTAAGCTTGTTGGACATTCTATACTCTTCTAGAGTACTCTATATAATCATGGTACATATCCATTTAACTAAATATAATCTCTTATAAAGATCTATCAAAATGCATTACTTCCTCAAATTTGCTATTGTCAATAATTGCTCTTTTCCTGTTAGAAGATTCTTATCTTTGAAATCTATTGGGCTCGGCTACGGCTACCACGCTTTAGGCGTACTTTAGGTTCATCAGTAATTGATGTTGTCCTTCTGGGACATCAATTTTAATTAGAGCATTTACAATTAGTATATAGCTAATGACATCTATTCATATCCATCTTCAGGATGGTATCATTTTGAAATATATTAATTAACATGTAGCCACTTTTATTAAATAAAATGTTAATATTTAAGTTAATGTATGTACCAAACTGACCATCAATATATTTTTTATTATTTATGTGCAAGGATTATATAAAATAATGAAATAAATACTATCTCCCCCTAATCCTTGCATGTGGGGGCATTAAATTAATCCAACTACCTTTAAATCTCCTGCACCTTTTAAGCCATAAATTCTTTTATCAATGCATATATCAAGAAAAGTAAAATGATTCTTATAAAACTCATATTCGTTCCTCTTGCCCAATTATATGAATCTTTATACTAAAAATTCTCAAATTAATATTTCTAATAGAAGTAAAGGAACTAAAATAAGATTCACTAAACCAAATAACTTAAATTAATAAAGGACTGATAATAATAATAATGAAATATCCGAAAACATAAAAATATCCAAAAACATAAAATTGTCCAAAACCAAATGTCCCATAAAGCATAAAATCATAGTACTAAGATAAAATTCTATAATAAATGCAAGCTAATTAATAGAGTTTATTCGCCAATGGATCATAATTTATTCAATTATTTTCTTCAGGATTAGGAAAGAAATCAGCTGCTTCTAGGTGAGTGGTATCACTGTTATTAAAATCACCTTCGCCATCCTCGTACACCAAATTTGTTTCCACTTTCTTTCCTTTCTGTTTGATTGATTGTTGATAGAGGTCTACTAGATGTTTTGGTGTGCGACACACACGAGACTAATGGCCTTTTCCTCCACAACGGTAGCATATATTTTCATTTTTATCCTTCTCATTCTTATTTCCATCTTTATTGTCCCACTTCTGGTGAGAGTATGAGTTCCTAAAATGACCACCTCGACCACGATCATGTCCACGTCCACGGTCGCGACCACGACCTTGACCACGATTGCTGGCGTGATCTCTAGCCTTTTGCTCTTTCCCACTATGGGATGTCGCATTCGCTTCAGGGAATGGAGTAGAGCCAGTTAGGCGTGATTCATGATTTTTCATTAATAATTCATTATTTTGCTCAGCCACAAGGAGACAAGATATTAATTCAGAAAATTTTGTAAAACCCTTTTCACGGTATTGTGTCTGCAGGACAACATTGTTTGCATGAAAAGTAGAGTATGTTTTTTCTAACATTTCTGCATCCGTGATTTTCTCTCCACATAATTTCAATTGTGATGTAATTCTAAACATGGCTGAGTTGTATTCACTCACAGTCTTAAAGTCTTGTAATCTTAAATGTTACCGGTCATAACGAGCTTTTGGTAATATCACAGATTTGTGGTGGTCATACCTTTCCTTTAGATTACTCCAAAGGACTTGTGGGTCTTTAACAGTCAAGTACTCAGTCTTAAGGCCTTCATGAAGGTGATGGCAAAGGAATATCATAGCTTTAGCCTTATCTTGGCTTGTTGCAGTGTTGTTTTCTTTAATAGTATCACCAAGTCCCTTTGCATCTAAATGTATTTCAACATCTAACACCCAAGACAGATAGTTGTTTTCAGTAATATCAAGAGCAACAAATTCGAATTTTGCAAGGTTTGACATGATTCACTGATATATAAAACAATATTATAAATTAGGAACTAAGGTGGTATAATAAATATATATATTCCAAATTTCAAATGAGGCGACTAATTTCAAGTAATTAATTATAACAAGATTTGCGTATTGAACCTTGAGAAGGTTATTGTTCATTACACCACAATTAAGTCCACTAATCAATGATCATAACAAAACATAAACTTTAATAAATAAATTTTTTTTATTTATTAAACCTTAATAGGTTCCAACTTCCAAAATCCAAACCCATTAACATACGAATTGCATATTTGCATACAATTATCTAAAGACCAAAAGTAACTCAACAAATTTCACTAGTTTCAATGATTAATGGATACGAGAAAGAAATAAACCAAAAAATATCAATAAGCAAACCCACTTCAGCAAATGCAATTAACCACTAATCTTGCAAAACCCAGTTGCTCAAATCCACAAATGCACATGATTTCTAAGTTTCCTTAATCAATTACAGCAAAACTACTAATTTTAAGGGTTTGGTCAAACACCCAGAAACTAAGATCTTGATTTCTAGCTACCAAAGTATCTGATTCGATTGATTAAGCAATGGTCAAACATCAGGTATCTTACTAAATACAGTAAATTTGAAGATAAATTTAGAGTAAAAACTGACCTTAAACAATCAATATGAATTCAATACATCATAATTTATTATCAAGAATTCAAGATATAAATCTGTAAACAAATTAACAAAACAAATAGTATGTAAAATATAAGAAATTAAGAAGTAAAAATTCAGTAATTCACCTATAAAGTCACGGAATATGGATGAGTGGATGACGGAGCAGTGGAGCACCGAGCACGGGAGGCCGGAGGCGACGCCTGTGGGACAACCGACAGCGAGAACGGGGGCCGGAGCGGTGAACGGCGGCGACGGCAGCTTACGGGCTGAGGATTTAGGGTAGTTACTTTGATTGTCGTTTGAGATTAGTCAATTTATGATGCTTCAATTGATATTAAAATCAATCTAAAGTTATGGTGCTGATAACGTGTTAAATATGGAAGAGAAATAAAGAGAGATAGGAGAGAAATTGGGGAGAGAATAAATCGGTCTCTCTTATTCCATAGAGTGGGGTATATATATACATACAATATAACAAGGGTTTGCTTAGATAACAATAAACCCTAGATCTAGAATATTCCGGAATGATAAAAGGAGGATAATGGATATCCACACAATATTTCATAACAGCCGTTGATATTTTATTTCAAAACAATGTTTGTTTTTTAATCTTGGGTGTTGGAGGAAAAGCTGTGAGCTCAGTGCAAAGTTGCTATGTAGCATGATAGCATCAGTTAAGCTTTCTTGTAGATCTATGTAAAAATGTGTTGTACAAGTCGTACTCGTACCCATTGCACAAGGCAAGGCTCTCGTGTTAACTGACAAATTTTAGTTCAATAAAAAGGGTTGATGAGGAATTGTGAACCAAAGTCTATTTAGATTAGTGATATGCCCTTCGTTTTTTAAATAGCACTGGGGCACTTGTCCTTGGACCTTGTACCAGTGTACCACCCTCTTAACACAAACACAAATGAACTAACTTCCCAAGTCTACATTCTTTACAGTGTTGCAAACTTGCAATAATGCTAAGACATCAAAGAAATCAGCTCGATATTGGGATACAAATTCTAACTCAACAGATAGTAGCACACTAGCACCATTTCCACCATTAAGGCAGTGTGTGCTGATACAGTGATACTCAAGCTAGCGAATAAGCAGACGAGGACTCTACTACCCAAAGACAGGATTATGATGTCAATTATTTGCTTGATTGAAATACCACTCTTGTTTGGCTGAAGCAGCTTAACAAAGTAAACAAGCCTGCCAATAATGTCTTTTACAATTATCAAAGTTGTATTTATCAGAATAATTGTTACTACACTACTACTCCATATTTATTATATAATCATTATTCATTTATTTTTTGAGACGAAAATCTTGAATCATGCATAATTGTAATTGTACTAATTAATTGCTATCATGAATTTAACCATAAGCCGAAAATACTAGTGAAATGTACAAAATATTGAGCAAGTGCTTAGATTACAATATTACGTACATAGAACGACTAATACACACCTAAACAAGTACATCAGGTGTTCCAAATTCGGAACATTGCTGTTTTGCAACATAACTTTCACAAGACCAAAAATATGCTTCCCTACACAAATACGTAATTCCTAGACTCCTACGGGCTACGGAGTAGTTATTAAACTGCTGGCTGTACGCTAATGCAATTCACTTGTATACGGACCATTAACTTCATCTCCATCATCGGAACTAGAACTCGAGCTCAGCTCCTGTAACATTGATGAGAATTGCCTTGAACGAGTGGTTTGAGAAGTAGATTGTTGTTGAGGATTTGTTGGTTCAGATGTCTGTTGAGAGGATTCTGACATTAAGGGTGTTTCGCCCGGCGTGTATAGTGAGTCAAAGAATGGAAAACTGAATCTGTATGTGACTGAAAGAATGAGATGATGTTTTAATGTAGCCGTTCTTTTTTTTTTGTTAGAAAAATGTAGCCGTTCTTGTTGATACTGATACTGTGATATTTTTAGCAAGGCTTAAACAGTTTTTAATCTATATTTCAAGGAAAAAAAAAAAAACAGTTTTTAATTTTTTTTTTTTTAAATCTATGCTACATAGGCTACATTCATAAATTTCTCAAAATAAATACTCCCTCTATTTTTAAATACTTGCTCCATTTATACATTTTGCACTATTTATTTGTCATACTTTGATTAATGTTTGTAATTTATACAAAAAAATAATATACTCTTGTGAGTACTTGTTAAAATTGTCACAATAAATAGATTATTAATTTTCAATTGTTCGAATTTATACTTATTGATAATTAAAAAAATATTGATAAAAAATTAACATTGACATATGTGCCCAAGAGAAACGGAGGTATTTAAAAACGGAGGGAGTAAGGTATAGGGTGAAACTAATTCGGATAAAAACTGAAAACCGAATCGAACCAAACTGAACCGAATTTTTGATATGTATCAGATTTTTTCTATAATTCGGATCGGATTAGATTGAAAAAAAAAAATAATAAATAAAATTTGGATTTCGATTAGAATTTGGTTTTGGGATTGTAAAAAACCAAAAACTGAATATGAAACCGAATTTCGGCCCGTATATAAGCCCAGCTACTCCTAACCCTTTTGGCAGGCCTTTCCTCCTAAAAAATAAACCCTAATTCTCTCTGATTTTGTTTCTCTTGCTAAAATCATCTTTCCCTCTTCTCTCTTTACAAGTTCAACCTTCAATCCTCATTTCCCATCTTTTTCTTCGTCCGCAGCTTAGAAGAAGGTAGCCACGACCGCCGCTACGGTCACTGCCTCGTTGCCGGCATCAACAAGCACCCTAATAAGGTAGAATAATGCGATGAATGAGCATAATTACATCAAACCATGAAAATGGTTAGTATTCAAGATTTAGTACTAATAATTTGCTGTGTTGTTTATGCCCATGACAAAATTCTGTTCAGGAAATAATTTGAGCTTCTAGTGCGTGAAACTATTTACCAAGAATATGGCATGTAGAGCAATGGATTTGGCAGTGGCAATTCCTTTGGGAATTTGCTCTCCTCAAAAGAGAGATTTTAAGTTGTTCAGGGTCAAGTGCTCTGTTGTTTCTCTCACCGAAAATGCTGCTGTTTCAGGTATTTATTATGAGCATTCTTCTATATTTCAAAGTATTTGCTGAACACATGATACAAATAATAAGACTTATTGCTTTTTAGTTCTTAATTTTTGATTTACTAGTATTGCATATTGCTGACCGACATTGCTAATACTATGTTAAGTAAAGAATTGGATGAGTGGTTTGTAATGCTACTACTTCGTATTATACACTGCTGAAGTGGGTACAGGATTAGCAAACTATGTATACGAGACAAATGCAATTTAAATCTTTGATCACTAACTTAGAATAATTTGACAATAGTTACATCTCCAATAGTCTTTTTTATCATCAGTTGGTTTGCTGCTATTAGTACCCCAAAAGAATAAAACTTTATCACTCACATTTTTGAGATAACACTGTTGATGTGGTGGAAGTTTTTAGGCGACAGAACTAATTAGGTTGTGGTGGAAGGTTAAAGTTTTTAGGCGATGGAACTAATTAGATTGTGGTGGAAGTTTGTAGGTGATGGAAGTAATTAGGTTGTTGTGGAGTGTGGTTGGTTTCATGTGAAAATGGGAACTATTTTTTTTTGGTTTGTTTAGGTGTTGGATCACTTGGGTTGAATATGAGACTTAGATGAGAATGCATCTCTCTCCCTTTGCTGTGTGTGCTTGTGTTTGTAAACGACCTCAAGTCCTCAACGCACACTTTATGTTAATAATTTGTCAATTGTTTGTTACTGCTGCCAACTGAAATCGATATTCTTCAAGAATGCTTAGATTGTTACTGCTCTTTCTGCTCTTTTCCAGTATTCTGTCCAATAATCATATCTGCAATATCATTTCTTTTAAGCCACAGGGTCAGGAGGCAGACCATGGAAGGTATCAGATGCTAGACTTGTGCTAGAGGATGGTACCATTTGGAAGGCCAAGTCATTTGGTGCTGCTGGGACACAAGTTGGTGAAGTGGTCTTCAATACTTCATTAACTGGGTGAGCGGACCCTGACTGTTTAAAAGTTCCCTCATTTGCTGATATTTCATTACCTGCTTCCACCCTTGGCTCGGTTTGTAATCTAAGTGTTTTATATTTCAGGTATCAGGAAATTCTAACTGATCCTAGTTATGCTGGCCAGTTTGTACTGATGACTAACCCTCATATAGGGAATACTGGTGTGAATTTTGGTGAGTAACGTTTATTTCCTCCGATGCATGGAATAGTCGTACATGATTGATGTATCTGTTTTCAATATGCTACGTTTACGCTTCCTCTTTACCTGTTTCCATTTCTGTGCAACATAGTTTACAATTGTTGCCAATTCATCTGTCAAAGATGTGTAACTAGATTAGGATACAATCATTGCAGATGATCAAGAGTCAAGTCAATGCTTTCTTGCTGGTCTGGTGATTAGAAGCTTAAGCATCAGGTTGGACTATTTCCATGATTACCTTAGTGATCGCTTTTCTAAATTTTTCCATATGTGCTTATCTTTTTCTTGTTTCTGCAGCACTTCAAGCTGGAGATGTGTTGAGACACTTGGAGATTATTTATCCAAAAGAAACATCATGGGTATATGTAAGTTAGAAGCCAAAATTTTGAAAATTTTGATTGGCAAAGAACATGCATCAGTAGTTAGTTTTTATTTGCTTGCCTTTTGACTTTCTGTCAAACTGTTTGTGTTGTGGAATAGATGATGTTGACACTCGTGCTATCACCCGTAGATTGAGGGAAGATGGGAGCCTTATTGGTGTGTTGAGCACGGAAGAATCAAAATCAGACAACCAGTTATTAGAAATGGCTCGTTCTTGGGACATTGTTGGTAATGTTTACTTAGTGTTGAAAATGGATTAGGCTTTCTATGTATTGTGATTTTAAGTTCTGGTTACAATTTTGCAGGTGTTGATTTGATAAGTGGTGTTTCATGTCTAGCTCCTTATGAGTGGGTTGATAAAACTGGCAATGATTGGGAATTTAATACAAATGGAAGTCCTGGAGAAACTTTCAAGGTCTGTGTTTTGCTACTACTGCTGTATTGACCCTGTACTTGGTTGTAAAATCTCATTGATCAATTCTGTCTGGCCGTGTTTTCAAAATAAAGGTGGTCGCTTATGATTTTGGTATCAAGCATAACATTTTGAGGCGTCTGGCATCATATGGATGTAAAATTACTGTTGTTCCATCAACATGGCCAGCGTCAGAGACCCTAAAATTGCAACCAGATGGCATTCTATTCAGCAATGGTCCAGGGGATCCTTCAGCAGTTCCATATGCTGTTGATACAGTGAAGGAATTAATTGGACAAGTCCCGATTTTCGGAATTTGTATGGGGCACCAATTGCTGGGTCAGGCATTGGGTGGTAAGACTTATAAAATGAAGTTTGGTCATCATGGAGGAAATCATCCTGTTTGCAATCTGAGAAATGGTCAGGTTGAAATTAGTTCACAGGTACTTTATTCATAAGTGGTTTGTTGGTATCCCGTTATTAATTCTGCATAATTTTTCCTACGAGTTTTGTGCTTCATCTTTTTTCCTTGCGTTGTGTTCCCGCACTCCTCATTTGTTTACTGATGTTTAGAGAACTGGCTATTGGCTCCACAAAATAATTGCTCACTAGTAGTTTATGTATTATTAATTTTTGAAACTATTTCCTGGCTGAAGATGAGGGACTTCTTGATATATGAGCGGAAATGCAGAGTGTGGAGTTTTTAACACTTCGAAGAATAAGAATTAGTGTTATGATATCCTAACATGTTTCCCTAAGATACTTTTGGGTTTGCAACTGATCTTTATGACATACTGTATAGTTTCTGCATAGGTGGATAAGCATATTCTTTGATAGAATTGAGAACGTCTGTAATTATATAATGGTGGAACTTAAAGATTAAATCCATGCATTCAATCTCTGTTTTAAACATATAACAAAATAATCTTCATTGTTTATGTATGATGTGACAGAATCACAACTATGCAGTAGACCCTGCATCACTTCCTGATGGAATTGAAGTGACGCACATCAATCTTAATGACGAAAGCTGTGCCGGTCTTGCGTTTCCGTCAAAGAATATCATGTCCCTCCAATATCACCCTGAGGCATCACCAGGACCCCATGATTCAGACCCTGGTATTTACAGTTTCCATTTAAGATATCTTGATTCACTTCAATCTCACTGCAACATACCCAACCATTTATCCTCTTGTTTATAATCTCTATCATATGCTAACACTAATTGCTGTAGCTTAGTTTCTAGCTCAACATCTGATAGATCGAGTTTAATGCATGAGTTGCTATGTTGGCGGATGGGTGTTTTTTTTTTCCTTTTTCTGAATTGATGTTTCTCTTGTTACAGTTTTTGGAGAATTTGTTGACATGATGAGGCGAGTGAAAGGAAATGCTTGAACTAGTGAGGTTATTGCTATTGTTGGACATGGTTACAAGTCTACATATTCTGCAGTTAAAGTATATCCATTTGCAGAAGATCTTTGCACGATGTCTTTGAAGAACAAGGATCTAGGAACAGGGTGATGTCTTGGAAAATGCTCCTTTGTAGTCTGTTTTGTGAAGTATAAGTTGTTTTGATGCTGCGTAAATCTGTGGTTTTTATTTTGTATCTTAATTCTAGAAAGTCTAGTACAACAGCTAAAACTAGGAAATATGAACTACAAAAGCCCAAATTCTTGCCATGAGATATAATTTCGTGTGCCAAAGACAACTGTGCTAGAAACTTTGTTAAACAAGGGTTCATAACACAGCCACAGGCAAGGTTACAATAGTCATGCACAACTGGCTGGATGTCGAACATTGTATAGCCGGAGCTCTTATTGCCTATGCTAGATTGAATAAACCTCGCTTATGTTCATTGTATGAATGCCCTAACAGAGTTACAGCTTTCTATGTAGTTAATTTTGTACTTTTTTAAGCTCCAAGGCGTTGTTTGAATCTTCTCTTTATTCTGAAAGTGAAGGCTCAGCCGTAGTTTGGAAGCTTGCCTTCGGTTTCTAAATTGTATGAGAACCTTCTATTTTCATTACCAGAAAGCTATTGCTCTAATCTTCAAGCTTTTGTAAACTCTTTATTTACTAAACTCATTATGATTGAAGGGGAAAGACTAGCTTTAGCCTTGTAAAAAAGCTTTTGATTTACAGTATCACTACAGCTTTGCCCAAATAAAAGCTACTCGTAATTTTCTTCTCTCTGTGTATGTTCGTCATGAATCTGGTAATTACAGGTCCATGGAATATTGATAATAAATTTCGGAATTGATTTTTTTTTTTTTTAAAAAAAAAAAAAAAAAAAGCTCATGTTGATCAGTATCATTATTTTCGGAATTTATATTATACAGAATATCTAGTTGATAAGTATCACTAATATATACTCGTATTTAATGCTTAATTATTTCACTTTATAAGATGTATATACATTATACAGTACTAAAGTTGCATCAATATTTCAAATTAATGCCTTGAAAATCTTAACTATAGATTTATTTATATGACTATTATTTACTACTTTCTATGAAGTAGTAACTACAAAAACTTTCATGGCTCAAATACTCTGTATCCTAAAGCTAACCATGGTATCTTCCTCGAAAACATTTTTTTTTCTTAATAATGTTTTGACCTGGTTAAAACGCTAACAACTATCTTAACCGCTACTGCCGAATTACTAGGTCAAGATTTCATCAGCTCTAAAGCTAGCATAGAAACATAGTGAATAAAGCAACCACCACAACTAATAGGCTTAATAACTTTTCCTCACTAAAAAAGGGTTATAACTCGACTTGTCACTATATGCGTAAAATAATTAGGTCGGTCGAATTCAACTACTTGTCAGTTGTCACATTATTTTCAACTCAAATGAAAAGATCCATAAAATGAGTAAGATAGTGTGTAAAATTTTCATTCTAATGGTGCATATTGTTTGATTAAATGTGCAATTTATTTCTAAGTCAAAATTGTTGTGTTTATGTTTTGAATACAATGTACTACCTCCGTTTCATATTTTTTGCAACTTTGGAATATTTTATATCTCACAAATAATACTCCAAACTTGTAAAAAATATGAAACGAAGGTAGGCCCTATTCACTTCAACTTAAAAAAAATAATATTAAGTAAAAATAATTTCAGTTCAATAAAAATAAGTTCAGCTCAGTAAACATAATTTTAGTTCTGTATAAATAGGTCCAGTTTAGTAAAATTCAATAACTATAAAGAAGAAAAATAATACAAAATCAGTAAAAATAATTTTAGTTCAACAAAATTAATTTCAGTTGAGCAAAAATAAGTTCAGTTCAATAAAAATAAGTCCAATTCAGTAAAAATAATTTCAGTTCTGTAAAAATCAGTAACTTTAAAAATGAAATATAACTGAAATTATTTTTGCTGAATTGAAATTATTTTTACTGATTTTCTATTATATTTCTTCTTTATAATTACTGAATTTTACTAAACTGAACTTATTCTTATTGAACTGAACTTATTTTTACTGAATTAAAATTAATTTTACTGAGTTGAAATAATTTTTACTTAATATTATTTTTGTAAAGTGAAGTGAACAGAGCCTTCACTCTATATTGACAATGAGCGCCTAGCCCTTGACTATATGTTACGGAGTAGTGCAAAGGTGTGGACTGTGGAGTAGTAACTTCTAACGTAAGCTTTCGTTAGAGGAGAGAGAGAAAAAAAAAAGGCAGAGCATTTAAAAGTGACCCCAAATTAAACTTCCTCAATTCAACACTTCCCGTTAAAACTCCATTTTCTCTCTCCTCTTCCCCTTTTTTCTCTCTCATATATTTTCCCGCTACTTCATTCTACCCAAAAACTAAACCCTAATTCCCAAAAAAACAAAAAAAAAAATCATTCTTTGTTTTCTCTAATTTGATTCTCTAGCTAGCGGTTACGAATTGTCAGAATTTTGAGGTTAGTTCTTTCCAAAATTAATTTATTAACATTGTGGAGTTATTAATTTATATGATTATGGAAATATTCGTAATTTTGTCAACTGGTAACGGATGAATTTTGTGTCGGTTTTCCAGGAATTTATATTATTCATGAGGTTGAGTTATTAAGTTCAATTTATACGTTGATCGTTTATTTTTGCATTTAATAGTAATTTTTGATTGAAGTTTTTAATTAATATCTACTGAAGAAACAGAGTTTGTGATTATGATGATTTCAGTGAACCTGAATTTTTTGGAATCTGTATGTTTTCGTTGTATTCTTTCAAATTTTGGTGCAGAATTTTTTTTTGTCATTGTGATTTTTGTATGATTTGATCAATAAGACGAACTAGTTGTTGTAATAATTGTTTTTGGGATGATGAAGATGATTGAGGTGAAGAATGAGGATGATGAGTGGAATTTAGGGTCTCCTGATGGTGTTACGATTGCTTCGAATTCGTCGATGTCGTGTTGCAGTTGTGAAAATGCTACCCCGAGATCTACACCATTGCGCGGGTATGCATTTTTCTTAATTTCAAAATTTAAACTTTCATATTCTAGACGATCTACTCGTCCAACCATTTTTCGTATTCCATAAACGCAATTTATGTGAGTAATAATGTTCGCGGTGCAGTGTGTGTATGGGGAGGGTGACTGGGTGAGGGTCGAGTTTTGGTGTAACTTGGCTATATGCATAATTATTTATCAATGTAACAATGTTTATACTTTAGTTTGCCTGTTTGAGGAGGTGTTTTTGTTCTTTAGTGTTGAAATAGCCATTCAAATTATTGGTAGAGGCTGATCCATTGATGTTTGTGTTGATTAGAAGGACAAGTGGTCCGACAAGACGCTCATCGAAGGGTGGGTGGACAGAGGAAGAGGTGAGTGGTGGCTCTTAGATCCTCCATATTTGATAATCATGCTTTAAATTTTACACTAGTTTAGTGTTTGATCAGATGTGTATGTATAGTGACGTAGTGTATGACTTGATTAATACCAATGTGTTTAACCTTGTGTTGGCTTGCTGATCTTGAAAACAGGACAATCTTCTCGCAGCTGCTGTAAAGAAACACAATGCGAAGAATTGGAAAAAAATAGGCGAGTGCCAACCTTTATACATAGTAGTTTCATTTGTTCTTTTAGTACTCTGAATCGTTTAAAAATTTAGTGTTAATTGTTGTAAGAAACTTAGTCTAGTTTATTGAATTTACCATTTTGTTCAGCTGAAATATGATAGGCCTTGATGGCATTGCAATCAGTTTGAATTTAGCTGTTTAACATAAAAAGGTTAAATGCTTGATCAAGGAAATTATGTGTGTTGAATTTTTTACATGGTCAATATGTACTTTAGTTGTATCTAGTAAAGTTCTTGTAGTTGTTTATAAGCTGTTTATTGACTATGTCTTTGAATTTCCTACAGCTGAGCATTTTTCGGGAAGGACGGATGTGCAATGCCTACATCGGTGGCAAAAAGTTCTTAATCCCGAACTGGTTAAAGGACCCTGGACAAAGGAGGTGAATTAAACAATTTAAACTCTTTCTCACTGGAAGCTGCTTCTGGAGACTCGATATTGTGCTTGTTGATATTGCTGATGCCTATAAATATTGTGTTTGATTTACTTATCTATCATCTTTTAGGAGGATGATTGTATCATGGAGATGGTTCAGATGCATGGTTGCAAGAGCTGGTCTGTCATTGCAAAGAGGTTGCCTGGTCGGATAGGCAAGCAATGTCGAGAGAGGTAACAATTGCTCTAGTGCATTATATCCCTGATCCTGGCATGCGAAAATTTATGAATATTGTGTGAAAGGATATGGTGAAATTTTATTTTCCGATCATTACCTTCTGACACATTTTGCCTAGAATGATTTTCTCTGTTCTACTTTTATCAGTTAGACAGCTATGGTTGTTAGCTAAATGTTTACGATGGGAAAGTGCTTGTGCATTATAATTTGCTTGTTTGGGATAAAAGGTTTGGATGGTTAAAAGAGGGATCATCTGGCATTGCCTAATTACTCCCACTACTAATGCTAAATGTTGACAGTAGAAGATAGGCAAAGATTCTAAAATATACTTATTTAAAAATGATGAAAATCGAAAAGGGAAATCTCTGTTTTTTCTAATATGATAGGTAAGAAAAGATTGTTATTTTTTCTGGTCGAAATGTAAATTATATATGTAGCTATTATGATCTCTCTCTCTCTCTCTCTCTCTTTTCTCTTTGTTTCTGCATCTCTGCTCACTAAAAGCAAATAAGAATACAAGGCAATTGGTTAGAGGCAAAAGTTTTGTTTTGTTTAGTTTTGGTTTTTCTTTTTTGCCCCCTCATTTTTGGTTCTCATGTAGGTGGCACAACCATCTTGACCCTGCAATAAAGAAAGATGCCTGGACAGAGGAGGAAGAATCACTTCTTACTTACTATCACCAGAGATATGGCAACAAGTGGGCAGAAATAGCAAGATTTCTTCCAGGAAGGTATTTGTATTCGAATTGGCAATCTTACCATGAACTAAATGCTGACATGGTACAGATTGTTTACTGTTTTGGCGTAGTCAATTTTCAGCAGTAATTATGTTTTGACTTCTTAGTATCGGAAACATGCAGGACAGACAATGCCATAAAAAATCACTGGAATAGCTCTTTGAAAAAGAAGTTGGATGCAAGATCGTCACATGGTTCTACCCAGAGCATAAACAAGACTACATTCGAAACAAACTGTTATGAGGGAAAGTTAGACCTCTGCAGAGTCAAAGCAGCAGCAAATGTTTATGAAGATAGCTGCACAGCATCAATCTATGGTACAGAAACTTGCTCTACTGAATTAGCCCTTGGAAATACTCCTGGAAATTCTTACCGTTCAGAAATTAGACTAGACCGACCAAGCAGGATGTTGTTTGATGAAAAAGATGCTCCTCTTGGTGCAGATCTTCAGCTATCTAGTATAGCTACTGTAGGTTCTCGCTTGAATTTTCCTTCAACAAACTATAAGGCTACACCCTTAACTATGTTATCACTGGAGTCTCCCAAAAGGCCAAGAAGTGGTAGCAAAACTGTTGATCAGGTGTTCAGGAGTTTAGACAAGCCTTTCTTGAGTTTAGGAATGTCTGGTTTCAGTGAGGATGATGCTCAGGGCAAGAAGAAAAACAAAGTTAATGGTATATCTACGGATTCTGAAGATACAAGTTACGGCAGTCTGTGCTATGAGCCTCCTGGAGTAAGAATTTCAGAGACTGGCCAGGTATATGGAGTCAATTATGTAGAGAACAATGATGCTCAAACTAATAGTCCATTGTATTTTTCTACACCACCTAGTCATGTATATACACCTACAAGTAGTGGCAGTCCAGAATCTATATTGAGGAACTCTGCTATGAGCTTTAGCATGCCTTCTATAATAAGAAAGAAAAGTTCAAGTAAATTGAGAAATTCCGTCGAGAAAGGTATGGGAATGCAAGATGTCAGGAAGGCTGAAACTTCAGCAGCTCCTAAGCCTGTTGAGAGATGCCTTGAACTTTCATTTGACATGGAAGCAGATGTTGGTGGAGTGAAATGTGGCGCCTCTGTTGCAACTCCAGGTGATGTTGGCTTGAAGACAATGTCAATATCTTGATATTACCCTATTGGTAACTTCTGATCTGTTGATGCCCTCTCCCCTGAATTGACCTGTTATTTTAATAGCATTTTACAATTTTTTGTTCTTTGTTCCTCTGAAGCCTGATACTATACAGTGGTGTTCAATATCCATAGGTTTTGATATGTGTACATTCTATGAGCTTGTAGGTTGTTTCTTCTTTCTTTCTTTTTTTTTTTTTTTTTATTTTTTTATTCTTCTGTTGCCAACATTCCCGGCCTTCTCCCTAACCCGGCATCACATTGTGTAGGTGTATGGCAGTTTTCAGTAAAGGGACACATTCTAAAATTTCTTTTATATAAGCCATACAGAATTATATCTTGGGATTGCCCTACTTACAGGCCTAAAATCTGTCTAGTTGGTTTTGTGATATTTGACTGGCTGCATGGTAGTGTCAGTTTAAATCTTATCTGATTCAATGTTGCTGATAACATGATTTCTTGTAAATGAAACAATGGCATTGCTAAAGGCTTGCTAAATGAACGCTCAATTGTTGCATTGCCTGCTTAAGGACCAGAAAGTCTTGCTTTACTTTAACTTGCATTTTCTGATGTGTTTTTGATATTATATGGCATACTAATAATATAAGCTGTGTACTTGCAGACTCTGAAGCTGTTTTTTGTGTGGCTGTTGGGCAGTCTAGCAACTTGGACGAGAAAGGTGAGAGTGAGATGAGACTCGACCTAAATAGGTGAAAAGAAAGGCATGTTTTAAACTTTGGCCTTACAATAAATGGAAATGTAAATTTTTTAGAACTGGTAGCTCCTTAGATAACAAAATTTTGGAAAACATTCATAAAAATTGTACATATTATCTTCTAATAAAATTGGTTGTACCGAAGGAAGAAGTTGGGAACCATGGTAATATTCAAGGATGTAACGAAGCTCTCTGTTGGTGTTCCATTAGCTTTCTAGAGCATACTGACCCAATTTTAATGTGCTTGGCGGCTTGGCGCCTGTATCTTGGCAATAAGGTGTTTTGTAACCTGTTTAGTTCACCAGTGAGACAATCTTTGAAGAAATAAAAAAGGAGATCTCTTACTCATTGAATTTATCTGCTGTTTTATGGACACTTCTCATTAACTCTTTGAGAGAAAGCCATTAAGGAAAAGTGTTATGTTATGGTCATATGGATGTACATGGTTTATTCAAGAACTGTTTTGGCGTATAATACGTCGTATAACAGTCGAGATATCATTGCTTCCCGTCCCAAACTGTCAAGTTTGACATGTTACGGTTATTGAAATACAATTTTGATCATCGATATATTTAATTACGTAATATGAAGTATTATAAAAAAAAATTAATATTTTAAAAATAGTGATCTAAAGTAACAATATCAGAATTGATAATTTTTTTCCCCTGTATGGTTGTCAATTTTGTTATAAATGTTGTCAAAATGTATTGTTAAATTTGTTATGATATATAACAAACTAACATTTAATTTGAGACGGAGGAAGTACATCATTTATATGTATAATTTATCAAGGTATACGAGTAACATGACGTACATGTATAAATTTTATGGATAGCCAATAAGTGACATATCTGTTGAGAAAAATTACAAGTGAAGTTCACATGAGCATGTAAACTAGTACAATAATTTGTAATAAAGTACAATCATGCAAAATATTTTAATAAGAAAATTTGCCTATAAAAAGGCAAATTCACTATTGTGAACTATACAAGCAAAATGTAACCAGAGCTATACTACCACACTATTTTTACTTATTTACTTCTTTTACTCTCCAACATCTTTCTATTGGTAAAATATTTATATGTTATCAGCACCAATTTTAGTTAGTTAGATATATTTATACCTACTTTTCAAAATTTATAACAAATAATACTATTTATTTCTAAATGTTTTGAGGAGTATGCTCTACAGTTGCCCATATTTGAGATATTTTATATCAGAAACTCAAACATTTACTATATCATATATATTGTGGAAATTATATTTCAAAAACAATGGTGAAAAAAATTTCTTACTTATGAAATTATTACTATCCTCCCTTGTTCTTTTTTATTCAACTCATGTTGGTACTTTGGTTTTTGTGTGATTCTTACATGTTGATATTACATACTCACCTTTTACGTAAAATTTGATTTTAGTTATTACAATTGCTTAGTACTCCCTCCGTCCCTTTATTTTTGCCCCATTGTCATTTTTTGGGTCAAACTTTGAAAACTTTGACCATAAATTGCCGTTAATCTATATACAATAATATAGTCATGAGTAGTCTTGTTAGATTTGTCTCGTTGTATATTTTACTAATATCATGTTTTTATAATTTTCACGTGTATAGACATAAAGATATAAACGTTTTAAGACGCGTCTTGGAGACCGTGTATATTTAAATGGGGCAATAAAATAGAAACAGAGGGAGTAGTAACTTTGCATGCATATTATTGACAAAAAGATGCAACCTTTTTATACTTATTACTTTTTTTCATTTACGTACTTTTTTAGTTTCTTTCCGTTTTCGAACCCATTATATTTTATAGATATTAGGACTCTCGGACCACTATGGCTTGCATTCCCAGTGTGATAACCTTTCATAATTATAAATATTTATATTTGGACCATAATTTTTTGCTAATACATTAGACTATTATATGATATTTTTACAGTTGTACAAAATAGTAACGGATAAACCTACCTCTATAAAAGGCAGATTTTTCTCCGATTTCACCACAAATCTCTTATCCCTTCCCACTTTTTATCCAAAAATCACCCCTTCTTCTCCAATATGTTTCCCGCCGACGGCAACCAAAAACACCCACATCTTCACTTTTGAGGAAGATCTAAGGAAAATAAAACAATTTTTTTTCTAATTATGACGCTTGTAGTTCTGTTAGTAGCAATATTAATTTTTGTCATTATGTACAAATGAAGCCCATTTATTTTGTCGTTTCGGTAGATTAAAAGCTTGTTTTTGTTTTATTATGTTGTTTTGCTGTTATTAGTCATCATTGTATAATATTATCGTTATTATTATAATTATTGTTACTACTGTTGTTGTTGTCGTTTTGCTGTTTTTGCGACTAATATGATTTTTTTTGCCTAATTATATAATTACTCAGAGTAATAAACCAAGGGGAAGAAAAGAACTATATTATTTATGGTTTATTATTGTTAAATAAATTTAATTATCACGTGTTTCATTAACAAACTATAAATATGGAAGAATTAAACATATGTGTTGTACATATGATTTATTATTATAGAACAATTATCACATAATTTGTTGTAGTTAAAATGGGAGATCTTATGAAAAGACAATTCAGCATTCTAGATTTATCTGGAAAGAAATTTTTTGAATGGAAAGTGGATGCCATGATGAATTTGAAAGCTCAAGGGTTGGAGCACACTATTAAAGATAATAAAATTCCTTCTGGTCAAACAACAACTGATACTACCACTTCTGCAATGACGGTTGTAAAACCTGTTATTGAACAAGAAAAGGCAAAAGCCTTAGTGTTAGTAAGGCATCATTTACATGAGGCCTTAAAACTGAGTACATGATGGTTGAAAATCCCAAAGAATTATACGATTGCCTTAATAAAAGATTTGGACTCCACAAAAGGGTGCTCCTTCCTAAGACATTATTTGACTGGACAAATTTACGGTTTCAGGATTTTAAATCTGTAATTGATTACAATTCAACCATACATGAGATAGTATCTATATTGAGATATTATGATCATCTAGTCATCGATGAATAGATAATTGAAAAAACACTCACTATCTTTCATGCAAGCAACATACTGTTGTAAGAACAATATCGTGAAAGAGGTTTTAAAAAGTTTAATGAATTGATGAGTATATTGCTTGTTGCTGAACAAAATAATAATCTTTTGTTGAAAATCATAATCTTAGACCAACTGGGTCATTAGCCACTCATGAAGCAAATGCAACAAATTCCTATCTACCCGAGACAAATGCTACACAAAGAGGTGGACGTGGAAATTACAATGGTCGTGGAAGAGGCCGTGGACGTGGTAGAAATAATTTTCAAAGAAACAATAATTTCAAAAATTCTGAGAAACAGAAGGGACAGTCATCTGGAAGCCACAAACAAACTCCTTCAAAAGAAAAAGACACATGTTATAGATGTGGCATGACAGGGCATTGGGGACATACTTGTCGTATGGCCAAACATTTGGTATATCTTTACCAAGCTTTTGTAAAAGGCAAAGGGAAAAATGCAGAAGCAAATTATGTTTACGAAGAAAATGCTCCTTGTCCCAGCCTTGATGTGTCTGATTATTTCATGGATAATGCTGAAATTGGAAATGATTTCATCATTGGAGAAAATAACAATGCTTAGATTTCCCATCTACTAATGTAAAATATATTATGTTTTAATGTATTTTCTTTTATGTAATGTATTTTAAATTTCTAGTCATGTACTTTTAATTTCTATCATCAATAAAAGTTTGTATGATATTATTCTAAACTAATCTCATATTTATCTTAAGAAGATATGGATCTGACCGAAGTTGGTTCCAAATATCAATGCCTTTTGGACAAACAATGGAACAACACATACTATCTTGAAGGATAGAAAATATTTTTCACAACTACACTTGTTTCAAGCAAATGTAAACACTATTTCCGGGTCAGCTAAATTAATTGAAGGATCTGGAAAGACTTGTATAGTGTTTCCAAATGGAACAAAATTGATAATCAATAATGCTTTATATTTGAGTAAATCTCGAAGAAATCTCATAAGCTTTAAAGAAGTACGCCAAAATGGCTATCATTTAGAAACAATGACAACAGGTCAAAAGGAGTATTTATGCCTCACGGTAGGAAAATATGGCAAGAAACACATTTATGAGAAATTGCCAGCATATTCTTCGGGGTTATATCGTATAAACATACGATCCGTGGAATTTAATATGATATCTAACCAGAAGTTAGATGACAAATATTTGATTATTTTATGCCATGATCGTTTGGGACATCCAGCAACTGGGATGATGTAAAGAATAATAGCAAATTCAGTTGGACATTCAATAAGAAATGTCAAATTCCTCGATTGGATGAATTAACATGCTCTGCATGTTCACTTGGCAAATTAATAATAAGACCATCTATGAACAAAATTGCTATTGAATCTCCAAAATTCTTGGAAAGAATTCAGGAAGATATTTGTGGGCCAATTAATCTGGCATGTGGACCATTTCGATATTTCATGGTTTCAATTGATGCTTCTACATGATGGTCACATGTTAGTCTGCTTTCAAGTAGAAATGTTGCCTTTGCAAAATTACTTGCCCAAATTATCAAATTAAGAGCTCAATTCCCAGATCATACAATAAAGAAAATAAGACTCGACAACGCTGGGGAATTTACATCCCAAACATTTAATGATTATTGTATGTCAATTGGAATTGTTGTTGAACACCCAATAGCTCATGTTCATACACAAAATGGTCTAGCTGAATCACTAATTAAGAGATTACAATTGATTGCAAGACCAATATTAATGAGGTCAAAATTGTCATCATCTGCTTAGGGACATGCTATAATACATACAGCAGCACTAATCAGATTGAGACCTACAGCTTATCATAAATTCTCACCACTACAAGTTGTTTGTGGTCGAGAACCAAGTATCTCACATTTGAAAATCTTTGGTTGTGCTGTATATGTTCCCATTGCTCCACCCCACCGAACAAAAATGGGTCCACAAAGAAGGCTGATAATTTATGTCGGTTTGAATCCCCTTCTATCATCAAATATCTTGAACCATTGACTGGTGACTTATTTACGGTTAGATTTGTCGACTGTCACTTTAATGAAACAATATTCCAAGCCTTTGGGGGAGAGAAAGTGGGCCCACGCAAGAAAAAAATAGAAGTTATTTGGAATGCAACACAACTGTTGATGTTAGACCCACGAACAAATATGTGTGAACAAGAAGTCAAGAAAATTGTTCATTTACAAAGTGTTGCAAATCAATTGCCTGATGCATTTGTAGACACAAAGAAGGTGATAAAATCACATATACCGGCAGAAAATGCCCTTGCACGTATTGAAATTCCAACCAGCAATAAGG